TTTAGTTTTGGCAAGTGATATCTATCCAGGAAATTATCCATTTCCTTTAAATTTTCAAATTTTGTGGAGTACAGATTTTCAAAGTATGCCCTGATGATTCTCTGGATTTCCTCAGAGTCCGTTGTTATGTCCCCTTTTTCATTCCTGATTTTGTTAATTACCATGCTCTCTCTCTCTGTCTTTTGGTTAGTTTGGACAGAGGTTTGTCTATTTTGTTGATTTTCTCAAAGAACCAACTCGTTGTTTCATTGATTCTTCTCAGTGTTTTCCTGGTTTCTACTTGATTGATTTCAGCCCTCAATTTGATTATTTCCTGGCGTCTGCTCCTCCTCGGTGAGTTTGCTTCTTTTTGTTCTAGAACATTCAGCTGTGCTATTAATTCTCTAGTATGACTGTTCTCCAGTTTTTTCATGTGGGCACTTAGTGCTATAAACTTTCCTCTCAGCACTGCTTTCAAATTGTCCCATAAGTTTGTGTATGTTGTGTCTTCATTCTCATTGAATTCCAGGAAGTCTTTATTTTTTTTATTTCTTCCTTTACCCAGGGATTGTGCAATTGTGCATTGTCCAATTTCCATGTGTTTGCAGGGTTTCTGCGATTTGTGTTATTGTTGAACTCTAATTTTAATTCATGGTAGTCTGATAAGATACAGGGGGTTTTTCCAATTTTTTTGTATCTGTCGAGATTTGCTGTGTTTCCTATTATGTGGTCAATTTTAGAGAAGGTTCCATGTGGCGCCTAGTAGAAGGTATATTCCTTTGTGTTTGGGTGGAATGTTCTATATAAGTCTGTTAAACCCAGTTGGGTCATAACTTCTATTAGTTCTTTTGTTTCTTTGTTAAGTTTCTGTCTGGAGGTCCTGTCTAGCAGTGAGAGCAGAGTGTTGAAGTCTGGTACTATTCGTGTGTGAGATTTTATGTGTGATTTGAGCTTTAGTAATGTTTCTTTCACGAATGTAGGTGCCTTTTTATTTGGGGCGTAGATGTTTAAAATTGAGACTTCATCTTGATGTACTTTTCCTTTGATGAATATGAAGTGTCCTTCTTCATCTCTTTTGATTGATTTTAATTTGAAGTCTAGTTTGTTAGATATTAGGATTGCTACACCCGCTTGTTTCTTGTGACCGTTTGATTGGAAGATCTTTTTCCAACCCTTTACTCTGAGATAACATCTGTCTTTGATGTTAAGATGTGTTTCTTGTATGCAGCAGAAGGAAGGGTACTGTCTTTGTATCCATTCTGCTAGTCTGTGTCTTTTTATAGGCAAGTTGAGGCTGTTGACATTGAGGGATATTAATGACCATTGATTGATGATTCTTGTTTGTGCTTGATTTATTGTTAGTGAAGTTATTTTCTGTAGTTTCTCCTCCCTTTTTCTTTTGGTGTTTTGTTAACGGGGATTATATATTGCCTGTGTCTTTTTGAGTGTAGTTATCTTCCTTGGATCTAGGTTTTCCTTCTAGCACTTTCTGTAGAGCTGGATTCATGGACACGTATTGTTTAAATCTGGCTTTGTCATGGAATATTTTGTTTTCTCCATCTATGGTAATTGACAGCTTTGCTGGATATAGTAGTCTGGGCTGGCATCCTTGTTCCCTTAGCATTTGTAGGACATCTATCCAGGATCTTCTGGCTTTCATCATTTACATTGAGAAGTCAGGTGTAATTTGGATAGGTCTGCCTTTATATGTTACTTGGCCTTTTTATTTAGCTGCTCATAATATTTTCTCTTTATTCTGTAGGTTTGATGTTTTGATTATTATATGGCGAGGTGACTTCTTTTTCTGGTCCAGCCTATTTGGTGTTCTGTAAGATTCTTGTATTTTCATAGGCATATCCTTCTTTAGGTTAGGGAAGTTTTCTTCCGTGATTTTGTTGAATATGTTTTCTGTACCTTTGAGCTGTATTTCTTCACCTTCTTCTATACCTATTATTCTTAGGTTTGGCTTCTTCACAGTGTCCCATATTTCCTGGATAATTTTGTGTTAGGGATTTGTTGGTTTTGAGATTTTCTTTGGTTGACGACTGTATATCCTCTAATGAGTCTTCAATACCTTAGATTCTCTCTTCTATCTCTTGTATTCTATTGGTGATACTTGCGTCTGTAGTTCGTTTACCCAGCTTTCCTATTTCCAGCATCCTCTTGTTCTGTGTTTTCTTTATTGTTTCTATTTTAGCTTTCAATCCTTCAACTGTTTGAGTTGTTTCCTTCATTTGTTTGGTTGTTTTTTCTTGGTGCTATTTTGATTCTTTGAGAGATTTGTTTATTTCTTGAAATTTTCCCCCATTTCATGGATTTTTTGTTTGTTTTTCTTCTATTTCTTTAATGGATTTCCTCGTTTTTTCTTTGAGGGTCTCTATCATCTTCATAAAATAATTTTTAAGGTCTGTCTCCTCTGCTTCATCTATGTAGTGCTTTTCAAGTCTTGCTGGTGTTGGTTCCCTAGTTTTCTGGTGGAGTCATGTTGGTTTTTCTATTCTGAGTGAGCTCTTATTCTGTCTTCTTCCCATCTCTTCTTCCAGTGGGTGCTGATGGGGTCTTTCCGTCTCCGCTGGTCTCCTTCCTTCCTGAAGCTGAAGCTGGGGATGCTGACACTGAATCTTAAGCTGAAGCTGGGGTTGCCGGAGGTTGAGGCCTGGAAAGGCTGATGTCTTTCCTGAAGCTGGGCTCGCCTGAGTTTGGGGCCTGGAAGGGCTGATGTCTTTCTTGTGTGGGAGGGTATTCTGGATGCCAGGAGCGGTCCTGGAAGATCAAGGGGGTGGGTGTTGTGCAGGGGATGGGGAGTGTCCCCTCAGGAGACCCAAGCTCTCCCAAAGCTGGGCTCCCTGGAGTTTGGGGCCTGGAAGGGCTGATGTCTTTCCTGTGTGGGTGAGTCTTCTGGATACCAGGAGCCCCCTGGAAGCTCAAGGGGATATGTTGGGCAGGGGATGGGGAGTGTTCCCGTTGGAGACATAATCTCACCTGAAGCTGGGCTCGCCGGAGTTTGGGGGAAAATTAAGTTTTATTATACTGAACACTAATGTATTCTGACCTCAATGTATTTTGCTCTGGTAGTTTTTGTGAGAATGTCCACTATAAGCTCATTTGTTTTAATACTTGGAAATTGATGGACAGAACTGTTTGGGAGGGATTAGAAGGTGTGGGCTTACTGGAGAAGGTGTATCACAGGGTGGTCTTTGAGGTTACAAAAGACTCATGCCATTTCACCATTTCAAGCTATTTCTCTTTACCATCTGCTTGTGATTTGACATGCAAGTCCTCATGCCTTTGCTCCACCTACATGGACCATCACCCTCTGGAACTGTAAGCCCATTTAAATGCTTTCTTTTGTACATTGCCTTGGTCACAGCGTTCTGTCACAGCAATAGAAAAGTGATTAAACTAGCTGTATACAGTGAGTGACACAAAACACTTTCCTGGAAAGTCATCACTTAAAATTGTAACTAAAATCAAGATGTATTGATCAAAAAATCAATTGTTATGATAATCTTAACTTGTAATTATTTGTGTGTTGCTGAAGTAGGTAAATACAGGAAAAGATTCAACTCTTCTCAGACCTAACTTAATTTTTATGGCTCCAGTATTTTTCCTCCTCTGTTAGGGCTTAACATAGTTGACAGGAGACTGGCCTACATGGAAACTGTACATAGAAATCATATCTTCTTCCTGAAATACCATTAAAAACACTATTAAGATGACTGGTGAACCATACTTATTATTAAAACATCTGTTTTAACTGCTTTGGGTGGCCTCTGTATAGCAAAATTACATTGATATTTTTATTTTCATCTGTTTCTATCTTAGTTATGTTTCTTCCTTATATTTAGGATTGCCAAGTGCTTTCATAAATAACCTTATAATTTCATTGTAAAAATTTGTTTTTATAAGGAAGTGAATACAGCAAGATTATTTTCTCTTCCACCTCAACTTCGGTTATAGACTACCTACTTCAAATAGTGTACCCCCAAAGCTTCCAGATCACATCTACAGCTGATGATCCAGAACTTAGGTATCTATCCCTCCCCTGAAGCCTATACTTGACTCTTCTCAAGGGTTTCTGTCCTTTCTCCTTGTCAAAAAGCTCACTGATTTTGTTTTGCTTTGACTTTAGATACTGAGTAGACGTACTCGAGGCTCTGAGAAAAACTCCCCCATTTTCCCACTTGCATGGAGCCATGCTCTCTAATGTCAGTGCCATTGCTTCATACTTGTGAATGCCAGTCTGTCTTCAAAGATAGATTATGAAAAACAAAAGAAAAGAAAACAGAGCAAAAGCACAGTATGTGTTCCAGCATTTGGAGAACTGAGGCAGAATGACCATGTTTTGGGGTTTACCCTGAATTACATCATGTACTAGGGTACCTTGGGATATAAAGCAAGTTCAAGGTCAGTGTGGGCTATATAGAAAGTTCAAGACTAGACTGGGCTACTTAGCAAGTCATTATCTTTTTATTTTTTTATTTTCTGCATTGGAGATTGAACTCAGGGCCTCATATGTGCTAGTGAGTTACAACTGTAGCACACAGGCTCTATCTTGAAGAAACAAAAACAACACAGAACAGGATAAATAAGTCATATTCTAACTCCACAGCTGAGTTTTACTGAACAAAAGTATCCAATGAGAACAGAACCACAAAAGAGATAGATGAAGAATAGGGGAAAATGTTTTTCTGGGTTTGCTCATTACTTCCATTGTGTTATTTTATTTGATGCTTTTAAAGGTGACCTAGTGGCATTTTTATGGTTTACTGGTATAATTATATCATCTTATTTTCTATCTACTTTTATTGTACAACAGAAAATAATTCTAAACTATCACCTTTCACTCATAACATGGATGATGTGACCAGAGTACCAAATCTGGATTTCTGAGGATTGGGCAGTAGGCAGGGGTTCTGACACCTCACAGAGTGGAGCTTCCAGCTTCCAGCCCTTCTATTGGTCAGGTTCTGATGGTATGAGTCACAAAGGTGGTTGCTAGGTGCCAGGTGAAGAAAAGACTCACCTGCGACCATCTACTCTGTGTTGTGGAGGAGTGAAGTCAGGATTTCAATGGCAGGATACCAGCTCTGGTCACCATGGACTCCACTGGATGAGAACTTGAGATGGTTGCGGCGCACAACACCTACCTTTTGCTCCAAACACCCTTTTAGAGTCTCTCATTTCCTCTCACAGAGCCCTTCTGAACTTGAAGTACAAAGGTGTTTTCAGGAAGTCGCTGTAATCTTAGATAGCCCACCAGTGGAAAATGGAGAGAGTCTGGAATCACCTGGCCAAGCATCACAGCAAGAGACCAGTGACAAGAAGAATGGATTGCTTAGGAAGCCCGAGCCCATCCGCCTCATTGGAGTGGATGCTGTCTTTGGAAGGGTTATTACAGTCCAGCCACCCAAGTGGACTGGAACCTTCAGAGTTTCAGACACATCAGCCTTCTGCAAAATTATCAGCAAGGAGCAACAGTGGCCCACTGGACTCAAGGATCCTCAGATTGAGATGATAGTGGCTATGTGCAAACAGATGCTACGTTCGATCCTCCTCCTATATGCAATATACAAAAAGTGCACCTTTGCCCTGCAACACTCCCAGTAAAGGGTCCCAACCTGACTCCTGTACTTCACTCCACACTCCAGGGTCTGTACCCAGAGCTTACACAGACATGTCCATGTAAATTGATCTGTAATATCATGCCTGATATTTTGTACATCCTTCAAGCTGTGACAACCCAGAATTTCCTCCCCTACTTTCTCTTTAGAATCAGTCAACGAATCTGAGCAAGGAAGAGCATTCCTGCTGAACAGACATTTAAGAGTTAAACTACCATCGGCTTGGTCATGCAGTAAAGAACTCTTAAACAAACCACACAAACCAGCCAATCTAGTGGGAACACACTTAAGTTCCAAAGCTAATGAAGAGCTGGAGACAGAAAGGAAACGTTTAAAGAAGACATGCATGGGTTTTCTGTATACCAGAAGATGAAGGGATCAAAAATCAAAATCTTTGTGTGGGTTAAGGACTAGTTTGAGATCAGCCTTCTATCATCAAACAGATGATAACAACAAACCCTAACTGTACAACCCTAATACCAATGTGGGTAAAAGTATTAACAATATTAATCTTTACAGCTTGACTAGGAAGAAATTGGTAGCAGCTTTGAAACTGAACTTTTTTGTTGAAGACAGGAGAGTCCCTGTTTTTAGCTCCTGGTGTACTATTTCCAATAAACTACACTTGTTTCATTTAAAATGAGTTTTAAATTTCTCATTTCAAACTGTAATTAAGTCCTAAAATATAATTATTATACAATTAATCAAAAAACATAATGGTGACTTCACCCTATTGTAACTGGGTTCTGTTAAAATAGTGAGTTTAAAAATTATCCTACAAAAGTTGCATGTTCTCTAATTGGTGGCTTCTGGTTCCATATATTCAAATGGGAATACATAGCCTGCAGTAACTACAGAAACTAGGAAAGGAAAATGGGACCATTGCTAGGATAGGGGAATTGAGGAGCAATGGAGTGGGGAATAGCATGGTACAAGTGATTTGACCAGGGAAGTGGGAAAAAGGGGGGTTCCTTAGGGAAAGGGAGGGACGTAAATACAGAAGAAGTTGGGAAGAAGGCAAAGAGGAATGATAGACTACAGTGATTTGATAAGGGAAATGGGGAGGGGCACTGTATGGAGAGTGAGGGAGGTGTACAGAAGAAAAGGAGAAAGGTAAAGGGAATTAATAGGATATAGTGATCATGTAGGGGGCACATTCCTTAGGGAAGAGGGATGGAGGTAAATATACGAAGAGTGGAGGAGGTAACATACACGATATGGGTGGCTGAGAAAGCCACAAGAAATCATGCTATTAACCATTTGCCTAAAAAGACTATAACACACATAATTAAGTATATAAATATAATACATAGTTTTTTTATTTTTACATTTTAAATTTAAATTAGAAACAAGTTTGCTTCACATGTCAATTCCAGGTCCCTCTCCATTTCCCCCGCCTCCTCCCGTGCCCTCCCCCCCCAACTCCCCCAACATCCCCTGATTTCCCCACGGAGGGTGAGTCCCTCCATGGGGGTGTCCATAGTCTGTCATTTCATCCAGGGCTGGCCTAGACCCTCCCCCAACAGTTCAGGGTGAGAGTGCATCTCTCATTGTTGGATGGGAGTCCAAAGTCCATTTTTATACCCGGGATAAATACTGATCTATTACCCAAGGCTCAATAGATTACCTAGGCCTCCTCACTGACACCCCCATTCAGGGAGTCTTCATCAGTCCCATGCTGGATTCCCAGGCATCAGCCTGGGATTCAAGAGCTTACCCTTGTCAGGTCAGCTGTTTTTTTGGGGTTAAAACAGCCCAGACTTAAACCTTTTGGTCATCAGTCCTCCATCAGTGTTACTGGCTTTCTTGAGTTCAGCTCAGTGCTTAGCCATGGGAGTGTGCCTCTTCTTCCATCAGCCACGGAATGAAGGTTCCCTTTCCCAGACTCTTTAGCCATGGGATTGTAGGATGGCACTCCACAGATCTATGTCTAAATTCCATATATGGGAAAGTACATGCCATGTTTCTCTTTATGTGACTGGGTTACTTCGCTCAGGATGGTTTCTTCTAGTGCCACCCATTTGCCTGCAAATGTCATGATTCCATTGTTTTTTCTGCTGAATAGCACTCCATTGTGTAAATGTACCACATATGCCTAAGAGTGAAGATGCTGGGTCTTGTGGTAGGTTTATTCCCATTTTTCTAAGGAATCTCCATACTGCTTTCCAAAGTGGCTGAACAAGTTAGCATTCCCACCAGCTATTGAGGAGTGTTCACCTTTCACCACATCCTCTCCAGCATAAATTGTCCTTGGTGTTTTTTATTTTAGCCATTCTGACAGGAGTGAGATGATATCTCAGAGTTGTTTTGATTTGCATTTCACGGATGGCTAAGGATGTTGAGCAATTTCTCAAGTGCCTGTCAGCCATTTTAGACTCCTCTATTGAAAATTCTCTATGTACTTCTGCAGCCCACTTTTTTTTAAGAGAACAACTCATGAGTAGGATATCACAATTCTTTTTTTTTTGCTTCTATTTTTTTTATTTTATTTTCCAGTTTAAATTTAGATAAGAAACAAGGTTGCTTCACAAGTCAGTTCAAGGTCCCTCTCCCTTTCCCTCCCCTCCTCCCATGCCCTCCCCCCAGCCCCCCCAATATCCCCTCATTTCCCCAGGGAGGGTGAGGCCCTCCATGGGGGTGTCCATAGTCTGCCATTTCATATAGGGCAGGGCCTAGACCCTTCCCCAAGAGTTCAGGGTGAGAGTGCACCTCACATTGTTCTATGGGAGTCCAAAGTCCGTGTGTATACTTCTGCAGCTCACTTTTTAATTGGATCCTTTGGTGTTTTGGAGACTTGCTTCTTAAGTTTGTTATAAATTGTGGAGATCAGCCCTCTACCAGATGTGGGGTTAGTGAATATTTTTTCCCATTCTGTGTGCTGTCTTTTTGTCTTGCTGAATGTGTCCTTTGCCTTAGAGAAGCTTCTAAGTTTCAGGAGGTCCCATTTATTAATTGTCGATCTCACTGTCTGTGCTACTGGTGTTATGTTCAGGAAGCTGTCTCCTGTACCAATTCGTTCAAGGGTACCACCCGCTTTCTCTTCTAAGAGGTTCAGTGTGGCTGGATTTATGTTGAGGTCTTTGATCCATTTGGACATAAGTTTTGTGCATGGCAATAGACATGGATTGATCCATATTCTTCTACATGCTAGCATCCAGTTATGCCAGGACCATTTGTTGAAGATGCTTTCTTTTTTTCATTGTATATTTTTAGCTTCTTTGTCAAATATCAGATGTTCATACATGTGTGGGATAATATCAGGGTTTTCAATCGGATTCCATTGGTCTACCTGTCTATTTTTGTGCCAATACCAAGCTGTTTTAAGGACTACAGTTCTATAATAGAGCTTGAAATCAGGGATGGTGATGCCTCTGGACATTGCCTTGTTGAACAGGGTTGTTTTGGCTATCCTGGGTCTTTTTTTCCATACAAAATTGATTATTGTTCTTTCAAGGTCTGTGAAGAATTGTGCTGGGATTTTAATGGGGATTGCATTGAATCTGTACATTGTTTCTGGCAGAATTGCCATTTTGACTACATTGATCCTACCTATCCAAGAGCATGGGAGATCTTTCCATTTTCTGAGGACTTCTTTAATTTATTACTTTAAAGATTCAAAGTTCTTGCAATACAGGTCTTTCACTTGTTTGGTTAGTGTTACCCCAAGGTATTTTATGTTGTTTGTGGCAATTGTAAAGGGTGATGTTTCTTTGATTTCTTTCTCAGCCCTTTTATCATATTATGTAGTAGGGCTACTGATTTTTTTGAGTTGATCTTGTACCCTGCCACTTTGCTAAAGGCATTAATCAGCTGTAAGAGTTCCCTGGTAGAGTTCTTTGGGTCATTTATGTAAACTATCATATCATCTGAAAATAGTGAAAGTTTGACCTCTTCCTTTCCAATTTGTACCCCCTTGAAATCCATTTGTTGTCATATGGCTCTAGCTAGAACTTCAAGTACCATGTTGAAAAGGTATGGAGAGAGTGGACAGCCTTGTCTTGTTCTTCATTTTAGAGGAATTGCGTTGAGTTTCTGTCCATTTAGTTTGATGTTGGCTGTTGGTTTACTGTATATAGCTTTTATTATTTTTAAGTATGTTCCTGTTATCCCAGATCTCTCCAAGACCTTTATCATGAAGGAGTGTTGGATTTTGTCAAAGGCTTTTTCAGCATCTAGTGAGATGATCATGTGATTTTTGTTTTTCAGCTTGTTTAGATGGTGGATTACGTTGATGGATTTTCGTATGTTGAACCACCCTGCATCCCTGGGATGAAACCTACTTGATCGTGGTGAATGATTGTTTTGATGTGTTCTTGGATACCATTTGCCAGCATTTTATTGAGTATTTTTGCTTCAATGTTCATGAGGGATATTGGTCTGAAATTCTCTTTCTTAGTTGTGTCTTTGTGTGGCTTGGGGATCAAAGTTATTAAAGCCTCATAGAAAGAGTTCGGCAAAGACCCTTCTGCTTCTATTGCATTGAATGCTTTGAGAAGAAGTGGTATAAACTGTTCTTTGAATTTCTGGTCGAAGTCTGCACACATCTGGACCTATGCTTTTTTGGTTGGGAGATTTTGATGACTGCTTCTATTTCCATAGGTGTTATAGGTCTATTTAAATTGCTTATCTGTTCTTGATTTAATTTTGGCAAGTGATAGCTATCCAGGAAGTCATCCATTTCCTTTAAATTTTTGAATTTTGTGGAGTACAGGTTTTCAAAGTATGACCTGATGATTCTCTGAATTTCCTCAGAGTCCTTTGTTATGTCTCCCTTGTAATTTTGATTTTCTTTATTTGCATGTTCATGCTCTCCTGTTTGGTAAGTTTGGACAAAGGTTTGTCTATCTTGTTGATTTTCTCAAAGAACCAACTCTTCGTTGCATTGATTCTTTGTATTGCTTTCCTGGTTTCTTCTTTATTGATTTCAGCCATCAATTTGATTATTTCCCGGTGTCTACTCTTCCTGGGGGAGTTTGCTTCTTGGTGTTCTAGAGCTTTCAACTATGCTGTTAATTCTCTAGTACAACTATTCTCCAGTTTCTTCATGTGGGCAATTAGTGCTATGAACTTCCCCCGTAGCACTACTTTCAAAGTGTCCCATAGGTTTGGTCATGTTGTGTCTTCATTCTCATTGAATTCTAGGAAGTCTTTAATTTCTTTTTTTATTTCTTCTTTTACCCAGGAATGGTGAAGTTGTGCATCATTCAATTTCTATGAGTTTGTAGGTTTTCTGCAATTTGTGTTGTTGTTGAATTCTAATTTTAAAGCATGGTGGTCTGATAAAATGCATGGAGTTATTCCAATTTTTTTGAAGCTTCTGAGGTTTTATATGTTGTCAAGTATGTGGTTGATTTTTGAGAAGGTTCCATGTGGTGGTGAGAAGAAGGTCTATTCTTTTTTATGTGGATGAAATGTTCTATAGATGTCTGATAATCCCAGTTGGGTCATTACTTCTATTAAACCCTTTGCTTCTTTGTTGAGTTTCTGTCTGGTATTCCTGTCTAGTGGTGAGAGTGGTGTGTTGAAATCTCCCACTATAAGTATGTGGGGCTTTATATGTGGTTTAAGTTTTAGTAATGTTTCTTTTACGAATGTGGATGCCTTTGTG